ACTAAACTTGCATCTAGAGATGTATATAACTAACAGCCTTGCTAAAGATGCTGCAAGTGATGTGTACATTTAATCATTTAATGAAAGGCTTATATCAATGAACTTATAAGTAACTAATGGATGTGAACAAATCAAAGACTAACCCTCCTGATAGATATAGGACAAAGTTACTGTTTTCACTATTGTTTCATTTATTACATGAAGGGATTCTAGCTACCATTGTTGGAGTCCATGAGAAACCCTGTGGGTTCTGATGATAGGGATGTGACAATTGTCAAGGTTAGATATTAATGTACATATCCTTCAACAGCTACAACTCAATGTCGGATACCCACGGGTGATCTCGTCTTTTACTCATCACCCGTGGTGATTAGTAAAAAACGAGATCACCGGTGGGTATATATCCGACGATAGCTAGAACTAAGCAAATAGTGTATTAAACACTTGTGATTTTTGTCAAGAGTCATTCATAGATGGTATCTTTCATTTAGTTTTCTATCACTTAGACCTAATAAAATACAGTAACATTAGCTATATTTTACCCTGAAAACTCAATGTTTTCACTGACGTTTCAATTATTGTAATTAAGTTCTACTGGAGTAAATCAATTTTATCTTTAAGTTTTCAATCTTCATTACCAGAGATCTGGAAAATGAAAATGCTTAATTATCTCCCCTTGACATATTTATTATAAGAAAATAATCAGTGGACATACTACCGGTGATGAAGAGTTATAAGGATGTCCCCCTTAGCCAGCTTTCCCCCTGGAATTTCTACTCCAGAGTAGGATTTCACCTGAGGGGAAATCTCGCAATAGAGCCAATTTTTCCCCTCTTTCTTTCTCAGAATATACATGTAGTTCAAATCACTGCATGAGCCTCAACCCAAAATATAACTCAAAGGAAACTGTAAAATTATAGTCACACAAAAAATCCTAAGGCTTGATGTCTCAACACCCTCTCTCAGTGCAGCAATACCTTTTTGTTCAAAATTATTTTTAAATGTATATCAGACCACCTTTGCTGATTTGATAATAATTGTTTGCCCTTTGTTTGTATTTTTTGACTAACTTTAAAAATTCCATATTCCTTATTTTGGGGGTCGATTTTGGCCATTTGAGCCCCTACCTCTTTGTTATTGATAGATTCCACAGAACAATTTATATGAGTATCTGATACGATTAGGTGTTCAAAAGGAAAAAAAGTTTTCTTTAAAAAAGGCCTAAACCCAAAACAATACAAGAAACACTGCTTTTGCAAGCCGAAGCACATCTTCCCTTAACCCCAGTGCTTTAATATTGGATTTGAAAACAGAAAGCAAAATTTTAAATTTTTTAGACATAAATGACTCATTTTTTAGTTCCATGGTAATGGCAGCTACTAGTAATTTGGATATTTAAACACCAGAATCTTGGAGAGACACTTACACAATAATGTTATGTACATGAAATATAAAGATAAGGAACAGTAATCAAGTTCAAGAGCCCATTGAAACAATGATATTGGGAGCAGAGCAAACACGGACCTCTAAAAACCTTGAAGGTGGGATCAGATGCCATGGAGGAGTAAGTATTCCCTGTCAACCGGTCATGATCAATCGGGCAAACATAAAAATCCGTCGACAATTCAGTGTGAAAAAATGGTCTTACAATGTAGTTTGAAACATAATTGGAGAAAAAGATTCATTCAAAATATTATTCCTTTTTGTTTCCATGAATACAGCTAAAAATTTGTCCAACCGAATACACTGTACCATTTTTTTTTCTTCAGAAACCACTTTGATAAGATGAAAAGAATAAGATTTTAATGCTTCAATGAATTGGTTGGGCAGTTTTTTTTTAATGAGAAAAAAGATATTTAATTTTTAAAATTTTCAATTTTCATACTGCATATGTTTCAATGGATTTGGTCGCCATTTTGGGACACTTGTAACATTGTGTTGGGATCCTCCCCCTCATACTTAAATACAGCCATAATATTTTATTGGGGGGAAAATTGGCTCTGGGGGAAATTGCACTCTATAACACGTACAGAGTAGAATTTCCCCCCAGAAAATTGAATTTGATGTGGGATGACCTACTCTAGTCATTTTTCTGTAGGGGAAATCCTACTCTAGAGCCTATTTTCCTGTGGGGGGATACTACTCTAGAGCCAGTTTTCCAAGGGGGAAAGATTTTAGAGGGGAAAGCCTACTCTACAAGACCAGTACTACATTTCTCTTTTGAGTACTGGTAATAAAAAAATTATTTTGGTCACATTTGCAATCAAATTATACTGGTACATGTATTTCAACATGTATATGAACTTAACTACAGTCACTGTAAAACTTGTCTATCTGGACACCACTGGTTCTGAAGAAATCAGCAGGATAAGACAATATCCCAGATTATACAACATTTTAAGCAATTGAATTTACTGAAAGGAACTTAAAAGTTTACATCGTACATGTGTTAGGCAAGATTTTGGAATACACAACATCAAGATTAGCCAAGTCTTAACTGTACACAATTTCTCAAAACTGTATACAATTTCACAAGCTTCAGCTTGAATCAATTTACATCATTGAATAATATGTATATATAAACTGATCAGAATGTCATTTAATTACTAGGTAATTATTGAACATTATCTTAGACTTTTCTTGTCCCACATAGCACATCACTGCAAACTTTAAGGAAGATTAACACATCATTATATATTTTTTAGATGGAACTAACAGTACATTAAAATTTCAGGAAAATTTAAAACAATTTCCTGATTAAATGCGATTGTGCTCTTTCAGTGAACTTCAATAACTTCAAAGTCTGATATCAGTATGGTAAAACTTCTTTTTAATTAATTCTCACAATGAGCTATATTTTTTCTCTAAATTAAATGCACTATTTATTATAGTCTTTAAATACTAAAAGTTTGTCTTATTAATCTAATTCTTTCTGCAGCCCATCACATAGATTGTAAACTACCTTTTTATGACAGATAAATGTATAAACTAATGTCTCTCAACTGACTCAATATTCAAGAATATGATCATTTTTTTAACTGAGGCAGATTACTGACAAATAGGTTGATGTTACAGGATTTTCAACTACACATATTTCCTTTAAAGTCAGCATTTTGCCAATTCTATGGTTGATACAATGACCTTAATTGCAAATATAACCAATTGTTGGGTTGTATTTTAACTGATATGTTTATCCCACTAATTGCTTTTACAATATTTTGATACAGATTACTCCAATTCAAATTCTTCACAAACTATGAAGGTTTTAAATATTTTAATTTAAAAGTAGAATATGATAAACATCGAAGATCAAAACATGTGAAAGATAAAAACAAGTAATCTGGAACTAAAACTAAATAATTCGACAATCATGAAAGCTACCACACAAAGTAATACTCATTGATCACCGAGTCATAAGAATAGAAATACGTCAATAATTTTTCATACAGATATGTTACATGGAATTTTGAAAGACAAATAAACATGCATATATAGATATAAAATAATAGTACGGTATTTCAAATTTTAAAATTGTCCATTGCTTTAAATCTGAAGTATATTATATCTCAATGATTCAAATAGCACATGTCAGAATTGAAAACAAATTGAAAACTGGGATGTCATTTTCACTTACATATGCCAGATAGAAGCCTGGATGTTCATCATCTTGAATTTTATTTGTAACATCGTGTATTAATGGGGCATGTTTATTTCAACATCATATGTGCATATTTTGATTCCTAACATCCCTTCAAAAACAAAAAAAGGATTTTTAAAAATTAAATTCATAGGTTGGATTTTTATTTTTCAACTTATCTTCAGCAAAAATTGCAATTTTTCTGAATTTCTAATTTTCTGTCTTTTTTTTATTTCAACATTCTGCAGTGTAGATATTACTTTTTGTCCATTTTGAGTTTATTTTCATGTATCCTACAAGGTAACATTTCTTCAAATGAAAATTTATCCTTGTTATGATTCAATCAAAAGGAAAGAATTCAAGTAATAATGTCCTATTACATACAGAGAAAAACATCTTGTCTTTTAAAGACAACTTAAAATTAGCCAACATCACTTGGTTACATAATGTATAATCAAATTATACCATGACAGCTCTTACATTTTTACTCGGTATTCTAAATTCAAATACACTTTCATATTTACAACAAAATACATTCTAAGGATTACTGACATGTGACAATTTTTCTTAATACAATTATAAAGGGTCTAACATTATTTTTTTGTTCTCCAAAGTAAATGACTTTTGGAAGGACACTCACAGTATATAATGAGAAAAAAACCCAAACATATACATGATTATGTAGTTTTGGAAAAAAAACCCATACATGTATCAACTAAAAAACTTAAACAATAAATTAAAGAATATAAATAGGATTTCATAAAAGAGTGTATGAATATATACTGAAAAAAATGTCTTTAACATGTCAGCTGTTTTCTGCAAAATACATGTACTATTCTAAAATTGTCATAAATTATGCCATTATTGCTCAATAGGTTAATATTACTCAACAAGAAAATATCACTACTCAATATAATTTCCACTGCAAAGAGATTGATGTACAATATGTGATTGCTTTCCACACTATTTGAATTTTTTCCTACCATTTTCATCTCATATATTTGTTTATATGTATACCCTCAATAAGATGACCTTTGGATTTCTTTATGTATTGCACTTGTTAACATTCATACATGTATCAATGTATACAAGAAAGTATTAGTAATAAAACAAATAGTAAAAAAACAATATTGATTAATTACTAATACTTTATGTGCCTTTATCTACAAAGTATACTTTATATAATTTTTTTAATATATTCTCTCTATATCTCTTAATTATCTCCCTTTGCAGAGAGGCTTCTCAAAATTTGATAAACTATGTCAAATCATGAACACAATTTTTTTTTTTGAAAACAACGAATAAATTCATTATTCAAATAATTTCATCATAGAGCTATCAAATACACTTAAAAATATTGCTATAAAAAGTGTAAATAATAGCAGTGTCTATCATCTGTAAAGTTATAACAATGTGAAGTATGATATTTTTGTTCAGTACTTTGACATGTAAATGTCTCCGTAAACAGAATAATATCCAATGATGAAATGAGTCAATATACTGTTCAACTTTGTTACAGAAACAATTTTAACATTATTTTTAGAATATCAATACCCTTTCATTTGTAGTACGCACACCATGAAACAAAACATGTCATTTACTTTCCAAATGAGAAAACATGTATATCATTAATAAAGTATTTTTCAATAAATCTAAATATGTTGAGATATTTGAACAAAATGACCCAGAGGTATAGTGGCCATGGTGGCAATCCTGCTGAATACTGAGTGATGTTATCTACTTTGTTTTCTTAGATTCTACATGCCCATTAGCATGTTTTCCATTTTGATTTGCTGCTCCATTTGCAACTGCTGCATCAGTTTTCTGAAGAAAAAAAAAACAATTACACATTATTCTGCTAAAATGTTTAAACAAAATTAAAAACATTCTCTGAACTGTTGATCAAAATACTCCCTTTATTCCATGAAATATAAAAAATTCTGTAAGCATGCATGCACTCTACAGCCTAAATTTAAAGAGGTATATATGTATACCTTTTGCTTCATGGATTTCACATAGGCATGGAAGTAGAAATTCAAAAACAGAAGTAAAATAGTGAATGCATAGAAAACCAGAGCCCAGTGCATCCATTCAGGGAAATCACACTTGAAATAAAGGCTTTGAGCTGCATGAATAATTCCAGTCACGAACTGAATCTAAGAGAAAAAAAACAAAAAGCAGATAACGATTAATACAAACCTTTTTATACTTTTCATTATGCTTCTTGATATACTCTTGTATATAGAAGTTCAGGAAAAGTGTGATAATGGTTCCTCCATAGAAGAGGCCGAAATACTGCATCCATTTTGGAAAATCACAATCAAGATACAGGCTAGAAAATGCATACACCATCCCAATATAAAACTGAGTCTAGCAAAAAAGAGAAAAAAATTTAAGCATTCAGGCCATTTTTTTTTTTTCAAAAGCATGAATTTTTACTTGATATTTTTTGAGATTATCACTGTAGCACTGTCAGGCAGCATAAATAAAAAGAAACTTTCAACATGCATGTGTATATACTACAGGTTATATGGTTCTTCGGTAAAGCTTTAAAGCGAAAAATGAACAATATAAAAATTTAAGAGACAATTAAAACAAAAGGCAAACAGAAGCATCTGAGTGAATGAGTTTGATTTATCAATGATGGAATTTTATTTTAAAGCAAAGATATGCTTACTACCTACAAAAGGAAAGAATGTACATGTAATAAAACTATTTTAATCTTGAGATTAATTCTTTTGATTCATTCTTTTTTTTAAATTTAATTTTTCTTTCAATTAAAGCTTGCATATATTGGATTATGCCAATGAAATACAGTAATGTCAAAATCTCTAGCACCATTACAAGAATAGAGACCTAAGTGAGCAAAAAGAAATTTGAAGTGAAAGATAAAAATATGAGTTTTTAACTGAATGCAGGAAATAATGAATGACATTTAAACATTTCAGGCTTATCCTTTCCACCTTGCATTGAGAAAAAAAAATCATTTCAGCAAAATTTAATGGCACTCCACAACTCAATGTTGGTACCTTTTAAACATAAAAAACCAAAATGGATGCAGTAAATGATGCTGTTGTTTAAAAACCAAGTCATGCAAATACTGTTAAAACATCCACAATAAAATGAATGCTGCAGATGGCTAAAATATTATAACACTATTAAATAATAATCAATGAATTAAAGATTATACTCTAAGACACTGTATTGACATTTTAATGATTTTTCTGCTACTTCAAACAGCAAAATTAATGCAGGTTATTTATTTATTTAGGTTTTTCTTTTTTTCTTTCTTTTTTTCTGAAGTTGATTAGATGTACACATATATGGATGAGTGGTAATAACATTGAAATTTGAACATGAATATAAAATTTTAATAAAATTACAGCTGATTTAAATGAATTTTGATTATTACCAGGACATAAATAGTAATAAACTCTATCAAAAAATACTGAACTCTGGAAAACAGCAAAGAAAGGAAAAATTGCAATAAAGAATGATAACTCTTGTAATCCATCTGATTGAAACCAACATAAAGCTTAAACATCAGCTAGCGCAACAGAGAAGAGAAATGTACCAGTTGTAGCATGGTTAGGTATCGCTTCCACCAGAGGTATTTCTGATACTGAGGTCCCAGTGCTGAGATTCCGTAATATGTATACATAATGACGTGAATGAGAGAATTCACCATGGCACCAAAGAAAGCTGAAATGATAAAAACAGAGATGACCCAGTGTCATATTTTTGGTTAATGTATTAGTGATGTGATGCATATATGTACAGAAGAAGGATGGTTTAATAAAATATCAAACATAGCTTGTTATGTTAAAAAAGCTACCGGTACTTTTATGTTACTCTTGATTTGGAAAATGAAAGAATCTTTCTGAAGTATGGTGCAAACATGTAATATATCTCAACATTGCCAACATATTAGCTAAATGTTGTTTTCACCTTAACTGTCAATATGAATAATCTAAAAAAAAAATTTCATACACCAGAGTAAGTACTTACATTGCCCCCCTGCCACCCATTTAATGCCTATCCACCAGAGAGGGAACATTGTGGCATGGTGATACACGTGTAAAAAGCTTATTTGGTTGTTCTTCTTTTTTAATACAAAGAAAAATGTGTCCATCATTTCTATGCACTTGGAAAAATAAAACCACCATAATGCCTTTGCTATCTGGAATGAAATAAAGAGAAATTGTTAGCAGCTTCATTAACAATTAGATTATTCACAATATTATTGGCTTCCTAAAAACCAATTTAAAAAATCCACTTCTTAATTACCACATCAACAATCAATAACTGTTATGTTGATCATGCAGTATCATAGATCTGCTTGCCATGATGGCTAAATAACAGAACAAACAATGCATCAATGCTTACTTTCATAGGAAAATTTCAAAAGGGTGATGTCAGTTAGACATTACGATTTTTTTTTCAAAACTGATTACTGTGGAATCATTTTAAATTCATGGGGGTCAATTTTCATGGGCAGGCACAATTTGACTTGTTCATGGGGACATAATTTTGTGGGTTACTTGTTTATATGGTAGATTCAATGAACCAATATGTTTACAAAAATAAACATTGTGGGGATCGATGTAAATTTGTGGGTAAGGGTGACCCATGAAATCCACCAACACTGCTCCCCCACAAACAATGATGATTCCAGAGTACTTCATATAAAATCAATATTTACAGCATCTTCAGCTAATGGTAAATGAAACTTACATTGACTTCATTTTCATCATTAGTGTAATTCACAGGTTGACATATATAACTGTAGCCTGCCCTGTACGTGTGTATAACAACCTGGAAAAAACAGAAGAGATTTCAAATGAATGATGCTTAAAAAAATTAATAATTCAATCAATTATCATTAACGTCTACTTTTTGAAATATATTTGGAAAATTTTCTCATGATATAAAATAACTAAATTATGAATAAGGAATGAAGATTTTATGCATAAATTTGTGAGATATCAGCAAATTCAATTAAAATTAAAGTTTTAAGCTTACCTGAGAAAATATATAAAAGTTGAGTATGACTAATCCTACATTGTAGAAGAACACAGCCCATTTAAGTTTGTATGGTTCTCTGTTTGTCATCCACCACTTCCCACCATAAACAAGCATCACATATAGAACGGTAATAACCAGTGTAGGTGTGTAGCTCTGCATTAAAAACCAGTCCTTCACTCGCGGGTCTACATTATAAAATAATGGAATACTTATAATGACATTGGTAAAGAATAAGATTCAAATTTGTCTGCTTGTGACCCTAACTCCATCTTTAATTCAATGCATTAAACCAGTCATTCATTTCAGATTCTCTAGATATTATTATTAGTTGTATAAATCACTTGAAAAAATATTAAGAACTGACGAAGTCATGAAATTCAAAAAGCACATATAAGACACTTTAAATTCAGTTCTAATATTATAATATAATACATTGTACATTGTACCATGGTACAAAACAAAAGCTTCATAACAAATCATTGTCATAAATTGTGTGTGTGTGTGTGAGAGAGAATCATATTACCTGAGTTTTCTAATGCCCATTCATAAAATTTGTTCCATTCATAATATTTGTCTTTTATAACCTCCATGTTTGTTTTCTTCTATGTCCTATTCACAAACTGAAATACAGAAACTATAACGATATAATTTTACAAGTAAGAAAATATTAGATGCATTATACACATATAAATGCTTTACAACAAAACACAATTACCAGTAATTGAAATCCATTGCAAAAGGGTTTATTTACATAATTGATTAATTTGACATGCAACAGAAAAAAATTAATAATGTTTTGAAACTCGATCATGCAATTAATCTGCTTGACTGGAACATGTAACTTCATACTGCTGTATATTTGAATCTAACTCAAATGCATTATGAATAACTGCTTAGTTATGAAAGTAAACTGTTTTTAAATTAACTTTAACTGAATGGATTTTTTTAAGTTCTAATATATTTGAGATAAACAGGAGTTGTGGTTCTTGGGATACACTTCTTCCTTTTTGGGCCAAATCAAACACTTATTTTTTTTCTTTAGGTAGTTTAAATTCCTTGTCAATGTTATTTCAAACTGAGACATCTTGTGCAATTCATGTAACTACTAAGAGGGAATTTTGCAAGTGCAATTGCATGTAGTTGTACATAATACTGCACATGAATAATTTGCTTATATCTGTTGTTCATGCAGTCACCCTCCCCCTTTTAAGGAGGCTGGGGGGTCAACAAATTAACCATCAGATGTAACTTAATTTTTTAGATATGATATCTTAAGCTGTCAACTATCATTCGGCAAAGGAAAATTTCATACATTTTAGTTTTAAAATTTGATCATTTTTGTATATCTTTATATGGAACTCTTCTTCTAAAGGAGATCAATATAGTCTGAAAATGGCCACAACCCCCCAGCCCTCTTAAAATCATCTCAGACTTGCAGATCAAACAGATTTGCAAAAATTGAAAATGCATCAAGATTTGATTGCTGCTAATGAAGCATCAAATCCAAAACATTTAAATTGAAGATATATCTATTTTATAATGTGTATTTGATGCACTTTTTTCTGAAAACTGAATGTATTAACTTTTAAGACATGGGGGGGGGGGGTTACAATTTTGGCACTTAGTTCAGAATTATGGTCACAACAACAAAGTTTTCAAAGTCTGTGTAAACTAAGGAGGAATGTGCACTACCTGCCCTGCCTCCTTGCTAATGCCGAATGACCTGTGTTTGTGTTATATCTCAATAAAATCCAAAGGTCAAGATCGAGTCATATTTATACACTGTACATCGATCAATTTACTTTACATGGTCGTCCCTAAGACCCGGGGAATTTCCCCGCCTATAATGAGGTAATTCCCTTGTTACTCCAGTTTTCTCCCTCATCACCCTGTTAATGGAGGAACCCCAGATCCCCTTCTACTTTTTAAATGTCCCCTACTATTTTAATTCTTAGGGACAACCCTGACTTCACCTTACAATAAAATGAATTACTTAGCTATTAATAAGATAACTGTGTTTAAGTATTAAAACTATGGGCTAAAAATTTACTTTTATAAAAATTTATTACAATATAAAAATGAATTATTCAATATAATTATGTATAATTTGTGGAATGTCTTGAAAAACCGTAAATGCAGGTTAAAATCAGTCACTATACAAATTTACAAAGATTCATTGTCCATATAAACATACATGTACAAATGTACCAATACATGGACAATTCAATAAAATAATTTTCAAATTGAATTTCAAGAATTATTTCTAAAAAGTTCCAGGTTCCTACCTTATAACCTCCTATATTAAAGATCATTATGATCAAAATCTCAATCATCAATTGGTTTTAGTATACAACTCTCAAAATATCCTACTGTGCAAATAATCTTGGGTAATCCTGCTTTTCATAAAAAAGTTAATTACATTGATTCATCAGAGCAGAACAACTCTTTAGTACATGTCTATACTGGCGGTGATCATTTAAATCCTAGACTGTTGCTATGTACTATCACATACATTAAAAGTCATGGCATGGACTTGTTTTTACTAGCCTGGATTGAGCAATCCCCAACAAAAATAAACCTGGCACAATCTCTTTGACTCTTGTTTAATGACACCTATGCTTCCGTCAGTCTAGATGTAAACCCGAAATAGGATGACAAGTGTAAATGCTTCAAGTAATATTCAGGAAGAACATTTTGTGGGAAAGAAGCCTGATAAACATAACTTCCCTGATCCCCGATCTGTTTCCTTTAAGCCAAATGGACTGTTTCAAAATTACTGCTAAATCAACACTTTTTGGTAAAGTTACTATATTCCTTGACAAACATGTAAAAGTAAAAGCGTGATGATGGATATGATTAATTAACTGTAAAATTAATAATGATAAAAAAATAATTTATTTATTCTGAATATTTTTTACAGGGAAGATCAAAACAAAGAAAAATGTTTGATATTTTTTGCTAATTTTGGCAACCTATGCAGAAGTTTATATTTATATTAATTAATCCGTGATATCTGAGGCATTGTTTTTGTGCTAATTGTAATGCCCAGTGGTTACAGTATTAATTAAGTTGTACTGTTTACAATGAAACAGTTATTTTTCATTTATTGAAACAATAATCTTTGACACATTATCATCATATGCATAAAAAGTCAAGCTGGACTGACAAGGGCAGGAAGAGCACAGGAACTTACTGTAAATTTAATCTGATTCTTTTGCCCTTTCTTTTTTTGTCTGTGTTTGCAAGCCGGGACACATTGAAAAAGAAATGTAAGAATTAAATGATACTAACAAATCTTTTTTAACTTAAAGAGATTGATATATGATAGACAAGCTATTTTATGAATATATAGTTACAAATGCATGTACCTATAGGTTTATATCAAAACTTTATGAATGAATATGGTAAAGAAGTAACTATTTAAAATTATTTAATTTTTAACCACTAGAGAAAGTTGAATTCTCTTGATGTTCAAAACATTATCATAAATATTAATTTGAAATTGCTACTAAATTTATTTATCATTGTGTATGATGATGTCAGTCTAAGGGTCTGCACATGCATTTAAGGCAGGAAGTGATGCTACCTCTCGTTGATGTATCAAGTATCTGTGTTCAGATGTACATTGCATTAAAAGTAATACACATCGCTACATATCAAGTATTTGAAGTAAATTAGAAATATATCACCTATGTTCTCAAAGAATTACTCTTCACTGTATTGTCTGTATTACATATTTGGTATGTTTATGCCCATATGGGCCCTGATTTGGTAATTAAGATTCTATTCTTAATTCATACTCCAGCTGACAGACATGAGAACTTGAACAAGATCGAAGGATGATATTTCTCAAAATACTGTTCCCAGAAAAAAAAGCATTTTATGATAATTTCAGTGGTCAACTGCACATATTCCAGTGAGTTCATGTGGTTGCAAGAAAGAAAAAAATATGTATACCCAGTAATTATATATTTTTAAAACTTCAACTAGTTATTTTTCATGACCTCACCCATGTCATCCTAGCTTAACCTTACTCTATTTAGCATTTTTTTTCCCCTAGCCTTATAAATCATATTGTAAGTTCATGTATTGTAAACAGGAATATAATAAATTCACCAAATGGTTAATAAGGAAAGGTGGGTAAGTGCAAGACTTATTTAATTATTAAACAAGACCAATTCTTAATCAGTGGCATATAACCATAGTAACAAAATTTGAAATTCTGATTAGGTTATTTTAAACATATTCAGTTTCATATAACTTTCAGATCTGAAGATAAAAGCTTTGGTAGCTGGTGATTTAAATGTCTTTTAAATACATGTGTATATTCCTTTTAGTCGATAGTGATCGATATTGTACAAACAGCAGAAATATTCAATATTTGTTTGATGTAGACCTATATGTTCATTGAGAACAGTCAGAGCACTGCATTTTGAATCAGAAAGTAAGAGAAAATTCTGGTGAAGATTTTTTTTTGGCGTCCTGCACAAGATAAATCAATAAGTTTAAAATAGCACATTCAATAATAAAGGTACCCAAAAATACATTTTGCAGTCTTCGCGGTTCTACAATAAAAACTAAATTTGCAGCTCATTACAGATTTTAAACTATTTATTTGTATGATTCTTTGTACACGTGCTTTGTTCATGCTATACCATACGCGAGTGTACAGAGACGCTGCTATTTATTTCCCGAAATGTCGGCCAAAAGGGTGTAACTAGATCATGCAAAAATGATAAAGGAAATCTCACGTTTTTATACACTAAGGTAGATCTAAGTGATAGTTTATAATACTTACCTTATTTGTAGCCAAATTCCAACTGCTAAACCATGTGCAAACACGCATAAACCTAATTTCAGTGTAATTTCGTTGCTATCAACAACATTGAAACATTTGCCGGCGGAAGTACAATGTGCTGGAGACTTTAACCAATCGATTGAGTCGTTTTATCTTTTGCATGGTCAAAATCTTTTATATCATTGATTTTGATTGGATAAGAACTTTTCTGGGGTGATATACACAGTAAAGTATAAACAAAGACACATGTTGTAGAAGGTAAGAGGGTTTGATTGATAGAGAAATGTATATTTTTCTTACTTTTCGTGTATTTCATTATAAATATATTTTCTGTTACTCTGTCAGTTGATAAAAATGTATGGAAGCTTTCGATCTGCACGTTTTCGCGTTTAGCATTTTGTGAGCATGCATTGTGCATGAAAACCTAGCTGCCAACTTTTAAGCTGCATGCTATTTTTAAATCTCATATTTTATTCGAAGCAGAGTAACTAAAATATTATATTACTTCGAGTATTCCACATGCACTTAATCATTTCAAATTCTATTCTGCATATGTGTTTAAAATTTGCCACATAAAAAAATTGCTTACTGACCATAGCTATTCGATCTTCTGAATTCTGATATCTGAAACAGGCTAAACTTGACGTTTTTAGCTTTACTGATCAAAATCAAGAAGAACTATTCATTGATGAAGTGTCCATTGTCTGTCTGTTTGTAGTCATTTAATTTTATTACAGTTTTGATACGACTGATTTAAATGAAAGTTGTTAGTACATAACTACGTGTGTAGATTCTAAAGTAGACTTATTAATTACGATTCTACATTGTATGTATCAAATTGTGATTTTTTTGAGTGGTTTTTCTCAAAACAACTTATTCTATGAATTAATCAAATTGCTTCACATGCAATTATATATATTTTTATGTTCCAATCAATTAGAAACCAATTAATTAATGGATACCTGTATCTGTTTCTGTAAATGGTGCCACTATTCATGCATTGATTTGATTCTGAAAAGTTGTCAATGCATTTTAACAAAGTTTATTTCTCTAATTACATAACAGATCTAGGGTTTTAAACCTTTATTTAACTATTTAATTAGTGAATCACTGTATCTCTGTCCAAGAAATTAATCCATTATATTTAATTTTTATGTATTATAAGGGGACAGCCATTTGACTGGGGGGGGGGGGGGCTGGCAGATATTGGGAATAAATAATCTGTCCTCGAAAATGTTGAAAAGAAATAATCTGTCCTCCACTGGCATGAAAATAAATAATCTGTCCTTGACTAGTGATACTAAATTTGCACCCCTCCCCGGAATCAAATGGTCATCTCCTAATTAAATGTTGTTGAGATTAAAGAACCTCTTAACCAACTTACCCTAACTATTTGAATTTAATAGTTTTTTTAAGATTTCACACATCTGAGCACTTGATTTTGTCCCTATATGATTTGAAACATCTATTTATTTTCAGAAGCATTAGAGCTTTGAATTTAAAAGTTCTACATCATTTGCACTTGAGTGCATATTGTATAAGATTGTTCATTAAAACGGCATTATCTAATTTAGTTTTGATCTCTTTCAGAACTGGACACTAAGAAAAATGTCATTTTTAAAGAACCTCGTGCACAACTATGAGTATGCAACAACTAAGCTCAATGGTATTAATTTATATTCCAATACAGTAAAATACGCTTGTAATGAAGTGCCAGCTAGGAAAGAAGAATTTTGATTCATTATACAAGAAATATGTTATTTTGGATTAATTGATAATACGTTTATAATTACAGGGAATGAAAATCATTTTGCTTTAAGCTAGCCTAGGGTGAATTTGTTATAAGCATGTTCACTGTAACTGCATGTGTTTTACTGCATTGATTGATGTAATTGTTGATACATATATGTTTCTAATCCTATGTCAGATTTATTGTTTTGTAAGGCATTAGAGGGGATAATACTATAAAATGCAAAGAATTCACCTCTATGACAGTATATATAGTCACTATGAAAATTTCCTGAAATGATTGCAATATGCAAATTACAAAACAAACATGATGGCTTACCTAAGACAGTTTCCAATGGGCACAACTGCCATCACATAGCTTAAAAGATTGACGTCATAAAATAGGAAAAACTGTGCTCTTTTTAAAATAATTTTTTTCTCTTAAAACAGTGACAGGAAATTACTGGAAAATATAATATCCATATGATCCTTTAAATAACCTAGTATAATGCCATGCAGGTCTCAAGTTCTGGCCTTTTGATAAATTCTGATCATTTTCAGGTACATGTACATCATGTAAGTAAATTATGGTACTATAATCTCACAAACATAAAAATTACTCTATTCAATTTTTTTTCCAGACCCTCGTACCACAGACTGGTTTCTTATGTCATCGCCATGGCCAACCATTGCCATAGTAGCAGTTTATTTGATATTTGTTTATGGAGGACAAAAATGGATGAAGAATCGTGCTGCATACTCCTTGAAAGATGCTATGCTGTGCTACAACTTTTGCCTGGTTCTCTTGAATGCCTACATCTTTTATGAGGTGCCTATATACAATATGTATAATTATATTATATTATATGAGAAACCATAATTATTGAAGACTTGGCAGCTATATAGATTTAACAGTTTAGATGTATAAACCTCTTGTATGAATTCTGTAGCAATTTTAGAAATAATCATGAGTGTTTGAAGAAATATAATTTGTAAGCAATTCAAATATATGATTCTTTACTATTGTTTACCTTAATTTTGATAATTTCAGTATCTTGTGTCTACATGGTTAAATCCGAAGTTTTCTAAATCCTGCCAAGTAATGGATTACTCCACTGAAGGTCTTCCACTCAGGGTAAGAATGTGTTTAAAGGGAGATAACTTGTGTTCCAGCATTTAAGGTATTCAATGTATAATGACCATATTTTGTACCTAATAAATGAATGGTCCGAAATGATTAATCACGGTAGCATTTTGAAGGTGTTATGAAATACATATGCTCCACCACAGGAATTTACAAAATTTTAATTATTGTCCAATTTATTGCACCTTAAATTTTACATTGACGTCTATGGATATTTTATCAAAATATTCTAAAAAGTAACGTGAATTTGATACAAATCTCTTGGTGAAAATATGCATAAACTCTCTTTTTAATAAAATATGAAATAAAATGAATCATTTACCATGGATATTTTGACAAAATTAAAATTTTCTTCTTTTCTTCAAGGGCAGATAACTCTTCAAAAACCTTTCAGGTGCAAAATGATCAGCTTCTTATTTGTTATCAGTCATTTGAGTTTGGTTTATTTCACTCTCATCATTATCTAGCAATGTATTTTTAACTAGTTTAAAACGATTCAAAAATGTTCAAAATCCCTTCGTTATACATTGAATACCTTAAGGACATACGCAATGTAGTTTGAACTTTATTGTCTTTTCCCTGGAGTTGAAGAGTTCCAATACTTAAAGGAACTGTGTGCTACATTTTAATATCTATATATTCTGTTGTACACTTCTTCTTAAACAAGTTTGGATAAACAAAACATCTAGAATATCGGTTTAGTAATTTTCGTATTTTTTTCTTTAAATTATACAAGAATTTTCATCAACTGATATCTTTTTAAAAGCCCTGGTAATACATGCTGATTTTTTGTCAACGAACATCTGATGGCACTATAATCTTTAATTAAGAACATCTTGAAAAATTATCAGTAGGTAAGGTATGTTGCGTATGTCCTTAAAATATGATTCATTATATCAACTAAATAATTTATGTTTATATTTCATTTTTTCCTAGCTAGCAAAGGTGTCTTGGTGGTTTTATTTTTCAAAGATAATTGAGTTAATGGACACAGTAAGTACATATATATGTTTATACACATATTAAACCTTGAATAATGCAAGTTAGCAAACTAAAAAAAATAATTAGAAATTAATAGGTAGGTCAGCAGTTACAGAAGAATTGTCACAATGTTAATTACCATAATCCACTTATCTAAATATTTATAAATGTAGCTCAATAAAAGTAATTCCATCAGCATTATCTAAATAATTGAATACATGTAGTATACTAGTATGCAAGTTGATCATAATCAAGAGAAAACTCTTGAGGAACCTATCAGATCAAATTATTGATTCAATTTCTATCATTCTGTACCAAAATTAAAAAAATTGAATTAATATTATATGACACTGTAAATGGTAAAGGAATTTTCATTATTAAAATATGACTTCATTACCTTTCTATTCTGTTAAATGTATTGTTAGATACTCCATACCTAAATACCCCTCTTTATTTATAGGTATTTTTTGTTCTGCGTAAGAAGAACAATCAGATATCATTCCTCCATGTATATCATCATTCTACGATGCCTCTGCTCTGGTGGACAGGTGTTAAATTCGTACCAGGAGGAGAGTGTAAGTAGAATGTGGGGGGGGGGGGGTGTTAATTAATGTAAAAGGCAATTCTAGTCTAAAGGGATAAATTATGGAATCAGGCAAAGTTTTAGTCCAAGACATAGTGAATGTTGTGGGTCAATAAATCAGAAGTTAAGTTCTTTAATAAAAGGTTAAGGTGGTTAGACCATCTGCTAAGAGAGGTAATCAAATTGACAAATAACTGTTTCCTTGACAATATTTTCATCTTCAACAATGATAATGTCTCAAATTCTGCCCTCACAGTACATTCTATATTTTCATGAATCCATTTTTTATCTCCATCATCTGCTGAAAAAATTGTAAATAAGTACAAAAAAAGTTCATATCTGAGAATGGTGTTTTGGTTATCCCATGTAAGACCTGGGTCCCCATTTTATAAAGGAAGTTACGATTACAACCAAAAACTATGGTTTATTGTTAAATCTTGCAAAATGAATTTTTTTTAAACAATTGCTTCCATGAAAATCTCTCTCTAAATTCTTTTTAAAGAGTTAAATACTATTTTCAAATTAACGTAAAAAAGTGATTCACAAGAATACATTTGGGTTTTAGTCATAAGTTCTTCTGTAAAACAGGGACTAGGGAGATGATGTCCTTATTATCATATTATTTAGTAGTCAGTAAATTTTTCGAACTTTTGAGTAAATATTGTCTTAATTTATTTATTAACAGCTTACCAGTGTGCCAGTATCAACAGTTTTATCCATGTCCTGATGTACACCTATTATCTGCTATCTGCCATGGGACCTCAGATGCAGAAATTCCTCTGGTGGAAGAGATACATGACAACATTTCAACTGGTAAGTAATACTAAGGGTAGATTACTACATAAGCATAAGCATGTAGCATAAACTTTGATTCCTTCATACTACATGCAATGATCCTTTACTTATTCAGTATATCTTTACCAATTCCTTGGACTTTAATAAAGTTTGACTATACTTTGTATCATGTGACTCACTCAGATATGGAGATCTGACAAACAATGAAGCTATTATAGGTACTGGTACTGACCACTATGTTTTAATTACAAACCTAATTTTAACATGTATTCTATTTTTTAGATTCAGTTTTGGTGGATCCTTGGGCACACACTGCATGCCATGTACGTGAACTGTGACTTCCCAATCGGCTTTGGTTTTGCTCTTCTGGCCTACGATTTCTCCCACATTGTGTTGTTTTCTCATTTCTACTACAACACTTACACCAAGAAAGCTCGAGCAAAAAAGGCCGAGGCTGACGGAAACTTGGCTAATGGGAATACTGACAAACATCTGTCTGAAAATGGAAGCACCACCACAAGACGCAAATGAACTGGATATTGTTGTATGTTATGCATTGTTTTGCAAAAAAATTTTGACAGGAACTTTTAAAATTCCGTCCAAAAAAAGAGTATTTTGATGAAGAACTCCATAAATTATTTATACTCAAATGTTGATTAGCATGAAATCATTAAGTTTTATTTTTTGTATCTTATTTTTTAACCAACATATTTTCATGGGTACCTCATACAACAAACATGCATTTTTCTACTGCAATTTCCACAGCTGAAAATTCATTGCATTGCTCATCATTTTTTGTTGTTGTTTTAAAACCTTTTGTAAGTACTTGTACTACATTGTACATTTATACATGTATTATGATATAGCATGCATCATGATGTCAGATGCTTTCTTCATAATCATGTTTTTTGAAATACATGTTATTTAAGGAAAAAAAGTCTATATCTGTAATTTCAAAATTACACTTACAAAGTAACTTTGTTACAGTATTGCTAAAGTCTTTTCAATGACCATTTAGTTTAGAACCCTCCTTGTTTATCGTGATTTTTTTTCTATCGAGTCAACTCACAGGGTATACGTATTTAAAGAACACATACACTTCTACAGAAAAAGTGCATGTGTTTTGTCTGTGATAGAGACCAGCATAATAAATTTGCAATATATCTTTTCTGCCTTTAACATGTGCTTTTTTTATGTTTGGCATGTAAAATTTTCACACTTTTGTGTGTACCTGTAATGAAATCCACTTACTGAGCTACAAAAATTCTTGGTACATGTATATTTTGATGATCATATTTAAGAGTTGCTCAAATTTTAATACTTAATAGATTTTGATTTAAAAGCATGTGTATTAATTAAATGTAGTTTATGTGTATTTCAAACTTGTTAAAACTTTTCAATTCTCAATAAATTAGTAATCTTTTTTAAATTTTAGTATACTTTCCTTTTTATTTCATTTACATGCTTCATTGCATGTTTCTTTCTAGCACTTGACCAAAGAGCCAGATCACATACCAGAGTGACTACCCTATCCGATTAATTTACATTATATACATCAAGTACATGCATACATACAGTACATTTGTGTGTATTTTTGAAATTAAGGGCAGTTGAAAGCAAAACTGATCAGTAACCAAATTACAGGAAATGAACCTTACAAGAACTATACTTTGTGGAATACAATGCCTTAGTTCAGGACATATTCTCCTCCAGTCCATCCTATTGAATGATGGGATACATGTATGTGGAGTCTTTAAATTCAATGATATTTGAGCAATTTAACTAGCGAAACATGTCAACTATAAAAAGCCTTCATTAGCAAACCAGAGGGTATAAAAATAATAATCCATTAAAGTACATGTATTTAATACTCTTTAATTCAAAAGCAATCATAAAATTTCAGCTAGTGTTTAACAATTTTCTCCTCAGTAAGTCCATTTTAATCGTCCACGGGCACTAGTTTAGGAACCTGTATCTGTTTCTGAAGGTACTCCTGGTCTAAGATTTTGAAGTTGACATAAGAATTTGTTACAATGGAGGCCATGTCCTGTAGACTACGAGGTTTAACATCCAAATCTTCCAAAGTCTTGGCAACATCCTTGTCCACAATGAAATCGGAAAGAGCTTCCTACATGGAGAAAAATTATAAAACTTGATCAGGATACAGTTTGATTAATTTGAATGCTAACAGTTTTATTTTGCTAAAATTTTATGCATTTCAATAAATGTGAATATAATGAACTCTGTGGTTCTGCCTCATCCTGTAGTTTAAAAGCCTTATCAAAGTTGTTATGGTCAATGTATAGCACTCACTTGTTTGCCTTATCAAAGTTATGGTTAATGTATAGCACTCACTTGTTTAATATTGTAATTTTGCAGTTTGCCTGTCAGGTTTCCAAAAATAATGAAACAGCTCTTTGAAGATGTAACATATTTTCAACAGACTAAATAGGAGCCATCTGCCATATGGACAATAACTTCACAATTTTGGCACACGTCACACTCATGATATCAAGCATCAGCAAATTGCAATACTTTTTTTTCCCAGGAAGTAATGCAATTTTCTGTTATTCGTACTTTTTGAAAAAAATTAATCTTTTTATTACTTTTTTTTTCTCTTGAAAATATGGTTCTATCCTCACATCTGTTTAAGGGTCATGAAATTTAAAGTTATTGCTCAAAAATTTATGACAAGCAGATGACACAAAATACACTGTACATGGCTGGCAGGATAAATATGCAAAAGGTAAGCATTCTTAAGGGTTTGGTTTTGTGTGCAGCCAAGTGAGACTCACTAAAAATAAAAACCTTAATATCTCAAAAATTAAGTCTTGCAAACACTTGAAAACTGGTCCATGTCATCTTCATAATGAAAACAATCTCTGGGTATATGCAGCTTAATTGACTCTTGCAGCAGTTTGCAGCTATGAAGCGCACAATATACCTGCAGGACTGCGCAGCCACAGGTTTTAGTAGTGCACCAAAAAATCCAAAAAAATATGAAATAGTTAAACCAATTAAGTGGCTACAACTATTTGTGAAGAACCTTTGTTTTAAATGTAAACTCACTACAATAGGTACATTTCTTTAAATGCATACTTGTTAGTTAAACAAGAAAATGTTAGCCATGAAAGTAGTCCCAACCACATGGCAATGTGTTAAAAATAGAATTAAAGAGACTCACTGTTGATCTAAAAATAGCACTTTATATGAAAGCCCAGATGTATCTAAAGTATTACTCTATTATGTGTTCAAAACACAGTGAAATTAATGTTAGAAAAATAATTTTCTCCTCAAAAAATATGCCAAATAAGATGTTAAAAATCTGCAGGGATAATGAAAGTGTGCAATTTAAATAAGAAGCCTGGCCCACAACATTCACTTGAGTCACCTTGGTGATCTTCAGATTTCTAAGACATTCTTATCCCCCTTAATTCTCATAAAAACAAATTTGAGCTAATATTGTGGCCCCACCCTGGGGTCATAAGGCCATGTCTAATCCAAACTGATTCCACAACATGAGGATATTTCATTATCAATATGGCTAACATGACTTATATGTTTTCTAAAGTTTTTTTTTCACATGTATATATGCATTTACCAATTTATATATAAAATCAGATCTCAGATTTATTTGAAGAAAAAAAAAATGAAAAAAAATACAAGTTAATTTGCATTAGTTAACTTCGCATTAGTTCTCGTGTGAACGCAATCTAATTTGCATTACTTTAATTCACATTAGTTTACTTCGAATTAATTTACTGCGAATTAAACTCTCCATGTGAACAGGGCATTAATATTATTATAATATTAAGTCTGGTCCATGATTTTGACCAACTTGAATCTTCTCTACTTGAGGATACTTGCATACATTATGAGTAAATCATTACCTTGTTGTTCATTACAGGAAATTTTTTTCCTATCTATTCCCATGTCAAACTTTGATACCCCTATTTTAGGGTTTAATTTTTATGGATGACAGATGGACAGACACCAGAGACTCTTTGATCAGAAAAGTTCAATAGAGCCTCTGCTAAGATGAGCTAAAATGTAAAATGTCTTTGATTATTGTAAAAAAGTCACCAAGAAGAACAAAAGAAAAGAATGATAAATGAACTTCTTTTTATTCTTAATCACTTCCAGGATATTATATTTCTTTTAACATGTTAACCAGTATGTGCAAGTTTGACTATTTTTTGTGAAACTTTCTTTAAAGATGTAAGGTATAATTTTATAAATAAGCTTCAATTCTAGCAATATAACTCTAATATAACTCTCTAAGATATTTGAGACCTGTTGTTCTTAGCATGGGTTTTACAAGAAGGACTTTAAAACATTTTTTGCATTTAATGCACTAAACAATAAATTAGATAAAACACTATTATAATATCCTGTATCAAGATCCCAAAATGTTCTTCACTGTAAACTCGTGGAAAGTTCAAATATCTATTTTTGTTTGGTCATCATATGTTCTTTTTCAATGATGTTTGGAAAGTTCAATGCATTTGTTCATACAACCATGAAATCAAAAATATTAACTTTCTGAAGTCATATCATATGAAACTAAATCACAGTCTTCACATGTTGCTGATATTTTCTCCAACACTGCTTTCCAAAAGATTAACTGTTGAGACAAACCAACATGGACCAAAACCACTATCATTTGAATGATCTCCTTAACTTTGAAATCTGTAAAATATTAAATATAAATAATTTATAACATACCACTAAAAAAACAATACTGTTGATCACTCTCAAAGAGGGAACTTGAATTGAAAGTTCAATCTTTACATCATGACTAAGTAAAAAGCATGCAAAGATAGACATGTAAATTTCAGGGTCAAAGGCTACACATCCCTCAGCAATGATGGTCACATTGTAAATGTTGGTTAACACTGATTGTTGCATTGAATATATCTTATTTTAATTTACAATTAGTGTAGATCAGAGTGGTTTAATTCATATAGAGATAAATGAGTTTAATCTGTATACAAAGAGGTCAACCATAAATAAGATCAATTAAGGTAAGGCCAAACAAAAAAATATTTGTGGTTTCGGTTACACCTCCAAAAAAATTAGGGTAGGTAGGTAGGGGGTTTTTTTTGTTTTTTTTTAACAAAATGATTTTCTTAATTTTCTAAATAATACCTATTACTGCTTTGCAAATGACATTTAGATGTGGTGTGATAATATACACTGTACTAGTCAATATTGGTAGGGGACATGGTCACACCTACTTGCTAGCTTGCTTTGGATTTAACACTATTAAACACTTGCACTATGTTGTGCAAGGAGGCCATCATTGCTAAAACTTAAAACCAGAGCCATTGATGGAAATCTGGGAAAATTTCCGGAAAAAATATGAAAATTGCCAAAAAAAAGTTTAGGGGGTATAAAATAGAGACGGTCAGGTAACCGGAACCACACATATTTTTTTATTTGGCCCAAACCCAAGTGATGATCATGTCATCTTGCCTTGGGAAGTAGATGAGACAAGCATATAAGATCATAATTAAATAAAGCAAACAAGTATCAGTACAAAATCTGAAGGTTAAATGACAAGGTAAGGATTTGATGGCAGAATTTTAAAAACCTGATATAATATGACATGTGTGTTAGTAAGCTACAAGAAGATGATCAGAAACAGTTCCTTCCAAAAGAGATTGAAGTTTTCAATTATTTAAAAATAACCTCTGATGTGACTTCTTTTTTCAGTCACTGTTTACCTAACATTTGTTTTTTTTTTATTGTTAAAGTCAACTGCAATATAAACAATTACTTTTATTGGTTTATAACGTGACATCACACATAAGGTTTGATTATTCATGATAACGATACTTTATTCGCTCAAGCAGCCTCGGGTAGGAGAGAGCTGTAGGTGGACTCCAACCATGGCTTGAGACAATGTGATGGACACATACACAACATTCACTTTAACAAGATCTTTCTTTTTATCCAACCGCATATACATTTCTCATCATAAAAATTGTACATTCTTTCATTCTGTACACATAGAATAACATCTGAATCCAATCATACAAAACGAAAATGATTAGTCAGCTCACTGTGATTATGACACCTACCTTATACCCTTATACACATGTCTATTAAATTTACAGAATCATTTCATTGGGATATAAAACTTACCTTACAGGGGAGGTTTTTGGGAGGGCTCCAACACAGGTATCACATGATTATGAAATGCAGAAATTGGCAGTCCAGAGGAAATATCTGAACAGTGTTCTTTTTTGTGAAACAAGGCATTCTGTAAACATGGTAAACATAGTTATTATAAATTTTAGGAAAAAAGTTCAAAAAACAATTCTTTTAAATCTAGATATTAATATTAACCTTTGTTGAACATGTTGAAGGGTGTCAGTGTTTTAACTGAATGGTATTTATTTCCTGAAACTGTGTCCTATAAAACTTTTTTTCTATGAGACATTATAAGAGTAGAGTTTTGCTTCAATCTCTCCAACATCAATAAAGGTGAATTTGAATTTGATTATTGTTTGTTATCTTCATATTTCATAGAAAGTCTCTTCCATTTTTTTTCTTTAAGCATTTTAACCTCAATGTGTCAAACTATACCAGATATCTTGAATTTTTTTATTGGTCCCATCAATTAGAAATAACAAGGTTTGCCTGTTCCATTAAAATGCATGAGGTCCTCAAAAAAAAAAATAATAATAATAATAACCTTTGAGATAAAGTGGTGGCTACATGTACATTCATTTTGTTTTCAATTTTATAGAAAAATATTAGAGGTTTCTACAAGAATATTATGGTATTTATGGATCAATACCAAGATTTACCCCCCACCCCACCCACAGCACCTTATCTCTTCCTTACAAGTGCAACCAACATATGAAAAACTTTCATAAAATGAACATTCAATTAAAAATAAACATGCGTGGTAGCATTTGATTCAGCATGCTCAATGGTAACTTAAGATCAGGTAAGACCCCCTTATTATACTCCCTTTTGATGAAACCAATGCAGTTGCAGAAATTCAAGTTTTCAATCTTAACCATTTCAACTAAGGAATATTAATTATTAATACTTTATGCAATTTTCATCTTTAAAAATTAAGCTATTTTTCAATTTTGCTGCACTCTTCATTTGATGAACAATTTACATATCAAGCAATGAGCAAATTAAGTTAACATCCTTGAAAATTTTTATCGTTTAATTTACTTTTCCCCATGAGAACTACATATACTGCACTAATCTGCAAATTCGAAGGACCAAGTCCAAAATGATGGTTTGTATACATAGTACAAACTTAGGTGAATATTATTTATATAAATTAAAAATACTTGCATCTCTTTTACAAAAAGTAAACAAAAAAGCAATAAAATTTGAAAAATTTTGATTTACAAATAACACATCTGATTTACCATATATATGTACTACGTAGAGCCACTTCACTTAGCCGTCATTGGACATTTAACTTGGTGTGTCTGAGGCTCAATGAAGGATCTTACACAAAAATCGCTCATTAATAAAAACAAAATTTAATTCTTTACTCTACTCATAATATTTGAAACCCTGTTTTTGACTGAACTATATTTTGATACAATGACGAATACTTTAAGGATTTTGAAACATAGTAACATTTATTAGAGGAACCTTAATTATTGCCCGCTACCAAATTGTGGTCTGCAAGAAACACGTGGAAATTCTCAGATCCTTTGTATACGTTTTACCTTTTTAAAATTGATGTGCATCAGATCGCATGCGTTGTCATACTCAAAATGTATTACTGATACTAGGAGTTATATCGTATTTCTGAGATAAGACTCATAATTCACAATAAATACAACAAATCGACTTACCAGCTCCTACTTTCACTTTAGCCGAATATCGCATGACAGACCTCAGAAATAAACTACGCTGAGTGATTATAGTTCTTAATTTTCGTGCAATATTTTTCAATATTATATGACATTGTCCTACATTTGTAGGATTGATATGCTTATTTGTTAAAAGGTGATTAATAGCCTTACCTGCAAAAGAAATAACAGACGTTAACTTCAGTCGGAACTGCTAAAACTGGGCGCGTATTAATTTATCTGTCCATTGTAAAATCAAAGACGGAGCATTCCCTGGTATGACGTAAACATCGATGTTACTTTTATAATAAACAATATTAAACATTTAGATCGAAACATTCTAATAGCTGGAGATGTTTTACGAGATATCTCTGTAATTGCTTTGTGTAATCGGGGTACTAGAGGCATCAGATTACAGAAATAGTCAGTTGGTTTCAATACCGGAATGGCAGCCCCCCGATTTCGCATGGCGGACATGCCTAGTTGATGAAAAACAGACAGTTATGGAAAAAGTACGCACAGTATTGCTAGGAACGAAACAAATAGTTGTACCCATGACGTTCAACTATCTGCACATATACAACAAATGTCATGTTATTGTTTTGTTAGACCTGTAGCTGTGCAGTCCTGCAAGTGTAATATGCACATTATTGCTGCATGACACTGCAAGTGACAACCAAACTGCATACATATCAAGACAGCTTTCCCATAGAAGGTGTCATAGGTCAGTTTTCAAGAGTAAGCAAGAAGTATTTATTAAGATACTGAGATTTTTATTTCGTACGAGTTTCACTTGGATGAACACAAAACCAGACCCTTAATGCAAAATGTGAAGGTCAAATGTGATTTCAGAAGTTACATGTATTTAATCCAATAAATTATGACAAACATTTCCAAGTTCACGTATAATCGAATCAACAGATAAAGATATCAATGGGCCTTGATGGTCAGCTGAGTATGATACAGCAATTACTTTCTCATATGTAGTCCAAAACCACAATCTAACTCCTTATCATATGCAAGCTTCTCAAGTACAATAATCATAAAATAGTTTGTCTGCTAAATGTTCAAAAGTAAAGAAAAACAGGGGTTATTTTGCAAGGCAGAAAAAAGGTGCAAAAATGTAAAGTACTTACTCTTTGTAAGGAATCAAAATTAAATATTCTGTTGTCTCTCTGTCTCTCTAACTTTCGACTGTTAAAAAAAAAAAATTAACAAATCAATAAATGTGTATAATTAAATTTTCAAAATTAACAATACAGTCCATATCATGAGTCAAATATTATCTTTTTAAGATACTTCATTTAAAGTCACTCACATGAATGCAACATCAATGTCTGTAATCTCCCAGTAATCTCTGTGACATAGTCTGGTGATGTGATTAACAAGGTTGTTTAAGGTATACCTCTCAGGTCTGGTAAAAATAAAAGTTTAACTACACTATCTTATAATGTGCAATGTAATCATAAGGGAATGAACAAGCATTCTGACAGTATAGCTTTCCATTACTGGTTCAGACAATTCTTATCAATGCATACATTCACACTGACTGATTCTTGATAATACAAATCTGAGAATTACACATGCAGTAACTAGCAAATTGAATATGCAAGACACATACGAGGGGTTATCAAAAAGTTCGTGGACTAGCGTCATAAAATTAAAACTGCTTTAGGTACATCAATGAATTTTTACACATTTAGTTAGCATCATCTTTTCTATCTACAGAATAAAACATAAATCATAATTTTTATTTTTTAATAAATTGTTAGTGTTTTTGTAAGCAAAGGTATGTCCAGGCGGCGCAACCTCTAATATGACGTTTTTTTCTACCTGAGTGTAACTGAGAAAAACTCTTTAGATATGAGTATTTGTCATAAAAAAATCTCGTTAATTCAGGCATGTGGTACGACACATTTGTTCAGTAAAATTTGCAATTTTTACCCCATTCTGTAATTTCTATGAAATTTTATCGTAAATTTTATATGGAGTGTCCAAACAATTATGGGCTTGAAAATAACGTCAAAAAGGGGGAGGGGTTTCTTTTTCAAACACTCTATAGAGTTTCGCTCCTGGAAAAACTGGTATTGACCTAAGGAATGTTTAAACTGGCTACAGAAAAATAAAATGCATCCAGAGTACTTGTTTACAATGCCCAAAAAGATTCAGAGAGATGAAATATGCACAGTTAGTGTCGATTTGTAGTCAGGGTGTCAAAAGTCAGTCACATCGAAAAGTGACGTTGATCATGTGTGGTAGAAATTGAACTCCAACAAGCTAAGTATTCTGGCATAATCAGGTGTAGCTGCAGAACTGTAGCTCTCTGCTTGAGAAAATTTGGACAGACAAAGCAGAGAGCTACAGATCCAAGCGTTGTAAAAACCTTCGATTTACGCCGCCACTTTTTTGTCGCTTGCTTCGGCTATTATTTCTTGTATTTAATGCTTTCCCCTGCTTTAAAAGTGGTATCCAATAATTATCCATATATTTTACTCCTATTCCTGACACTTTTTATTTACCTTTCAAGAGTTCCAGACGGCCAGTTTAAAAATGCATTCCGACGTCGATGTTGGTGTCATCCTGAATCAACACGCCCGAGTTCTATTTATCTCATTTCTTTTTTACATACATCATGTACATGTTGTATTCTAATCTTTATAGACAATATACATGATATTCAAACCTCCTGAATTTTTATTTACATTTTCTTGACAAGTATATGTTCTTTGAATTACTTCTTTTCGCACAACCCCCAATAACATGGACGTCGGAATGGGAATTTTTTAAACCCACATTTCAAAACCATAAAGGGCTGTTTGAGACCGTTGAAAGGTAAATAAAGTATCAGGAATAGGAGTAAAATATATGGATAATTATTGGATACCAATTTTAAAGCAGGGGAAAGCATTAAATACAAGAAATAATACCCGAAGCGAGCGACAAAAAAGCGGCGGCGTAAATCGAAGGTTTTTACAACGCTTGGATCTGTAGCTCTCTGCTTTGTCTGTCCGAATTTTCTCAAGCAGAGAGCTACAGTTCTGCAGCTAAATCAGGTGAGGATCTTTCCCCATATAAAAATCCATTTACAATATTATATGCATTGAAAACAGCTGCTCATGACATTATAAATTCATATAAATAAGACGGGTTTAAGTCCTTACTTAACTCCAGGTAATCTCATCAAGATAATTGTATGAGGTAGAGAGAGCGGACATTAAGAAACAATGACGTTAAGCGGACGTCATGACACTAAACAGTGACAGCGCCGGGTGATCACATAAAGTCTTTTTAATTTTAGAATAATTTGGCAAATTATCAATGTATCAAGCTAAAATTTTCAACATTTCTTAAACTTAAACTTTTGTTGTTTTATGTTCCGCTTAAATTTTGTAAGCAAAGACTACATATTATTAATTTTATCGCGTCAGTCCACGAACTTTTTGATAACCCCTCGTAAATTCTCTCTTTCAAATATAAACATGTACATGTTTTTCTTAATCTTTAAACCATAAATCTTTTGCAGAAATATCTTTTTAATTTCTTTTTACTAATTCTTATAATAAAATGTTGATGAATTGATTAAAAAAAAAGATGTCCAAACATGTGACTGTCTATTTGAGGATTCTGAACTACTCACCCTACACAGTAATAGGTGCTTCCTGGAGCATCAGAGTCAAAAATGGCATTAGTCACTCCAGTAGCAACATCACCAGCCTTCAAACAATCACATTCATGTTCTTCATATTTTCAGTTATTAATCAATTATTTCAGTAATTAATCATTATTTATTTGGTCCAGGTTTAAGTGGTCTACATATTAACTGTATTTTATAAATTTCGGTCAGAGAATCTTGGGAAACTTACAAACACGGGTTGTTTTACAGTGTCATGTCCCTCTCTCCAGATTGGGATCTTGTAGCTCAGGTAACCATACCGTGCTGTCAATGTACAACAAAAGCTGAACTTCTCATCTTATAGTGCAATAGCATTTTCTCCAGCCTTTCTGCCAAGCTCAGAAAAACACCTCAAATGTTTTCATAAATCACCGGATGTTAAAATTTTATTCAATTGAAAATAGAGTTGCTTTCTTTTTATTAAAAATACTGGATAGACAGAATTGAAAGTAGGTTCTCTGTATTTTTTAGGTAATATCTTTACATTCAATGAAGTTAAGCTCCATATTCTACATATGAATAGGGGGGTTGTCAAGGATGCCGACGTAAGACATTAGAGGTTGTTTTTCCGTTTTGCGGAAAGGCTCGAGAAGTTGCGATTGCTTACAGTGTCTACATTAGAGTTTTATAAAAGCATCTGCTTTCAGAAATGGAAGAAATTGAATTCTTCCATGAATCACATGATGCCAACAAAAATAAAAAAAAATGTTTATAATGTTTCTAATATAATTCTTAATGTTTCTTATATTTGTTTTATTTTTTACAATATATAACTTTAAATATAGGTATTCAGTGTTGAACTTGAAAATTTACCTAACTTTGGAACATTTACAATTTTTTTAGAGTGATTTACAACTACTTACAAATCCCCTCTTTATTCCAACTTACTCTTGTGAACATATTTCCAGAAATATCTATCTCGGATTCCATAAATATCTGCTGGTCTGAAAATAGTGGCCTCTGGAAAAATTTCCCTAACTGCCTGATCACCTTCCCACTGAAACATGAAGAGCACAGATAAATTATCAAAATAAATGAAATTAGACATGTAAATATCATAATTAACACTTCTTTATGGTGTAAACAGAACACTCAAGGTTGCTCTCTGTTTGATTATTTCACAAATTATCATTAAATGACAGAGAGCTCTTCTTATATCGACTTACTTATATGAGATAGTCTTCTCATATGGAATTCCAATGGTTTTGAAAAATTTGATTAATAAAAAGCAGAGGGTGAATGGGTTTGCACAGAAAAAGATCCACATTGAACCAATTTAACATGCCAAGTTGTAATTCTGAGCATTCAATTGCTTTTTTCATAAAGGTGTATGATTTCAATTTCTTAGACAATAAATACAACAAAGACAAGACAAAGATAACTGATAAAATTTTCAAGAATACAACTAAAACTGATCTAATATACGCTATAAAATAGAATCCCAGACAGAAAACTTATTGCATTTTCTACCAGGCAGATTTTACAAAGGCTTTTACAGTGCTATACATGTTAAACAGCTTAGAGGCCTATCACAGTAAGTTCATTATTCCATGCTGAGAGGGAAAAAATTTAACTCTCAATAAATCTGTTAAATATTTTTGTTAAAATCTAACAAAAAGAATTCTTGAAGCATGCTTGCTGTTATCTTAATACATAAGATTCAATTCTATTTTTCTTTTTGGGGAGGGGGATGTCCCCCCCCCCCTTTTTTTAAAACATATACATGTATTTACATGTATATTCGTGTTTTCCTTGCAACAAGAAGAGAAAATCAAGGGCAAAGTTTTATGACTGTTTTTATTTTACCTTGATTACTTCCAAATATAATTTGACTTTCTTTACCTTTTTCTGTAACATAGAGTTTCCCTTTTGAATATTTTCCCCAAAATAGATCAGATCATTGCGATGGGGGTCTGCATTAAGATGTGAAAAATGGATTAATCTTTCTACACCCATTTCCTTGGCAATCTTAGCAATCTGGGTAGGAGCATCAACAAACAGATCATGATAATCATATGCCCTGAAATAAAAAAAAATCTCCATTATTCAATCTGTCATCTTCATTAAACATGTTGAAAATGAAGATATGGTCATTTTTATGCATTAATCTTGGAATAATTTCAACATCTTGCCAACATTCTTTCAAATGCATCACTTAAAAAAATACAACATACCAATGCATATCAACAAAATGATTTCTGTGATCATGAGCTTTCAAAAAAAAAAACAACAAACAAACAAAAAAAAAAACTAGTGATTTTTGTTTAAAAATCTAAAAGTATTTCAACTATACATGTACATGTATTTCTTCAATTTCTGCAATATATCTGATAATCTCTATTCCCTGTCTTCAGCTCACTTACTTGGTCTCAAACTCTTTTCCAATTAGGTTTATGACAAGGTTGGAGTGCATCATTGCTTTTCTTAGCTGATCTTCATGGTAAATACTGTCAAAGGGCTAAAAATCAAAACATTATTTTAACATTATTGAATACAAATAGACATAATTTGCTTTTAATTTTCAGCTACAACTTGCAAAAGAATATCAAAGAGGTTTTTGGTAATGGTATCCAGGAATTTATCTTAAACATGATCTGCATCATTTTGTTGCTGACTGAATTGTATTAAACTTACTCATACTAATGTATACAGTGTACTTTAACATTATTTGTTACACATTAATGTACACAGAATTATAGTGGACTTGAGAGTTGCCAATGACTTACTGTAAACAGGATTTGTCCAAGATCTCCAGCCAACTTCATTCTAGCAATTCTGTAGGTGTCTCCTCTGTATGGGATAATCACTTGAGAACCAATTTTACCTGTAATGCAGAATTTCAAAGTAAATCATTAGATGTCAATATTTCATTTTAATGAGCAAAGACAGAGCTCTCAATCATTTAACATTGCATTAAAGTTCATATCTTGGATACCTAATCTGTTTACAATATGTCTTCCCATAAATCCTGAGGCTCCAAACACAGTGGCCACCACTCCACTGAAAGAGGACCTCCCACCTCGTCCTCTCTTACATGCTGCCAAATCACTACCGGCATTTCGTTTCTGGAGGTAAGCTGTACTCACTGCGGCTGGCAACTTCTGACCTAGAAAAACATTTTTAACCTTTGCAACTTTTACTCTGTATGATTAGAAAACTATTTTTTTTTTTCAGAATTAGCATTCTGATTAGCATACAAAATGTTCAGATTTAGTGAAAAATAAGTTTTATTGCTATAAAACATGTACATTACAGATGGAGCTCTTTTAAACTGGATATTCTCTTTCAATGTACCTGGCTAGGAAATAATGCTTGATTTTTAAAAATTAATTCTAAATGCAATTTTACACAAGGAAAGTGCTGTTCTCAACTAAGGGTTCTGTACTATAATATACACATGGAAAGGTTATTATACCCAAGACGATTGATAAACAGTTCAAAAATGCAATAAACATGTAAAAATATTTTAAAAGAGTAAATGAATGTTTAATATTAAGAAATGTATCAAAACACAATGCTGTCTGCTTCCTGAATACCAATTGAAATAAAAAAAAAAAAACGTCAGAACCGGCGCCATTACTAAAACTGGGAATATGCCGCCTCCAACTGGAGGCAGCATTCTCGGGTTGATTTTCGATACTTGTGAACCGAATTAAATGTCAAACTCACACCTTATCAATAGTACAATACTTTTAGTACTCATCAACATCGTTTTATTGTTCGTTTATAAGATATATATAATCCGATGAAAACATTTTATCTGACTGTCAAGAATTGTTTTCATTTTGTGCATTTTAAAATCTTGCAAGTCCTGTATTGAAATGTGGAGTGGTGTTTTCTTTTTGATATTGGTGAGTACTAGAAGCATTGTGCTATTGATAAATTGTGAGTTTGGCATTTAATTCGGTTTGCAAGTATCAAAAATCAACTCCAGTTGGAGAAGGCAAAATTTCCAGTTTTCGTAATGGGGCCGGTTCTGACGTTTTCCTGGCATGTAAAATATCAAAATCGTGAAAAAAGCCTGGAAGATGTCAGATATTTTGGACAAAGGTTTCAGTTATAAATCAAAAGCCTGAAAGACTTCAACGGCGTCGAACAAGAAAAACAATTTCAAATGATGTTTTTGAATTTGAAGATAGCAGTAAGTCAAGTGAGTTACTCAGGAGACAAAATGAAAAAAAATAATTTTAAACAAAATATCACAATTACACTCAAGGGCCTCATGTCATGGTCCGTATGGAGCAGGGTTCGAATTGACCAGACACCGTCGAACATGTTCAAGCTTAATTCTTTTCAGTCAATTGAAGAACTATGAAGGATTTATATATTATTCTTTCTAATTGCCAATGTCAAAGCGTTGTATTAGTGATTGCATCTAAACTACAACCATGACTCTGCTCTGTTACAAGTACGATCCAGTTACAATAAGGCGTGGTGTATGGTATATCTATACGGGGAAATGGAGGAAATGGAGAAATAACAGTAATACCCCGGTACTGGTCAATATCATTGGTTTTTAGGATAAAGTTGGTTAGAAGATTGTACATGTATAAGTAAAGCTGAGATTTAGAAATCAATCTTTTTTGTCTTGTAGTATTCGTGTTTGTGTAATTTTGTAATTATTTTACCACCTGTTGTGTTGTTTGTGTTCCATGGTTATTGTTCCGAAATGTTATTTCGAAATTTTATGTCATTCAACGCACCCTTTCTGTAGAAATTCATCCGCAACAACCATCACATTTTTCTTGTGTGAAAATAAAACATAATATCATTGTTTTGCAATAGAATTAATTGTAGATATAATTGATGCAATTTTATTTTCAAGCTATTATTCATTGTGAGCGTTTCAAAGGAAATTGGTTCATAGATATTGCTATTTTCTATTGCGGAGGCATCAACCAGGGTTTGAAATTAACAGTCGCCCACTCGCAATTTGCGACTAATGTTCCATGTGGGCGACTTAAAATTACGTTCAAGTTGCCCACATGGCGATTAGAAAATTTACAAAAGTAAATATCTGTTTTTCAATTTTGTCCGAATGTTTTGTATTTTTCTCTTGAAAAATTTTGTAATCAGTAAAGTACTTTATAATTACCTGTAAGAAGTACTTATATATAAAGCGTCTAAGTGATTGTGTCGGCACAATGTGGCATCGACAGGTCAATGAGCCCAAGAAACCAAAAAGTACTGTTGTTATTTGTGAATGAAAACGTGCCATGTGCTCTATATATGATACTGAATGATCATATCAATCTTCATAAACAGAAGAGTTCCAGTTCAAATTTAGATAAGTCGTGCATAATGTTACAACGGATAGAAAAGAAACACGAAGCACATGATAAAAAAAACGAAAAATGGGGTTGTTTTTTTTATATTCAATAGAAGGTGTGATAATCTGTGGGCGAGTAAATTTTGATGTGGGCCCCAGAATTGCAAGATTCAGTAGCCCACATGGCTATCAAGGATTACAAGTTAGTTTAAAACCCTGCATCAACTGACACATGCGGTCGCGTACATCCGGTCGCAATTTCAACTGGGTGCTTGCTAGATGATGTTCAACTCCAAGAGCTCGACGCCACAAAAAACGTCATTCTGATAAAACACTTAAGACAATTAATTAAATATGTATAATAATTTACGGATGCATTAAAATTATCAATGCAATTCTTTTTTCTTTTTGCAATGAACACACTTTACACTTCCTGTAATACCCCTTATAAAATTCCTACAGCCTTGTACATAGTCCGAAATATCTGACGTTTTCCAGGCTTTTTTCACGATTTTGATATTCTATGTGCCAGGAAAACGTTAAATAGAACGTTCTATCGTTAAAATGATAACTGTCCTACGGACCCGGTTTAACGACAGAATTCGTTCTGTGTATTGGCAATGTTGCAAAATGAACACAATTAATAATAACTCTTACTCTTAAAAACGTCAGATATTTCGAACTACCTTGTACATTGCCTTGATTATCGAGGAAATTCGAAATAAGAGACATTGTACTTTCTTCATTTTGAAATCCGTGAAATAAAACAAACCAAACACAATTAAGATTAAAATGAACAACCATTGTACATAATACTTACGACCAAAGCGTACAGCACTAGTCGTCAGGCCGCTAACCATTTTTATTTTCAACTGTCAAGGTCTCAAACCAGAAAAAATATCGGCGCAAAGTTACAAGACAAGTCGTACATAAATTTTTCGACGTTACCCTGTCTCATAGATTTTTAATATTCTTCGTTGTTAATCATTAATATATAAATGAATGAATGAATAAATAAATAAAGAAAGAAATCAGTAAAATGTGTGTTTGATGAATGATGGTTTTAAAAAAAAATTATTGAATGGGCTTACGCAAACAGATCTGATTGTGGACAATCTTAAATCTTCACACTTAAAAACGCACTTTCAATACACTTATTTTAGACTTTTCATTTTTAAAACATTGCAAATTTTGCGAAACAGTCGAAAATATGCTTAGAATAATTCAAAGATGACAAAGGATAAATTTATAAAAGTGAACTAAACTGCAGTTTATCATTAAAAACTATATGGTTATCACTCATGCTTTAAGAACTAATAAAGGATAGAAATAATTTTGTTTTAAATTATCCTCATTTTGTAAAACTTCGCCATATCAAGAAATAATACTGGCAGACGCCATCTGTTTTCGAATTTGTACAGTATTTTATACACATATATTATATGCAACAGACGTAAAGTATAATTTAGTCTTAAACTATATAATTTTCAGAGTTATTTATAAATTTCGATATAAAAGTAACGAAATATTGACTTTGGACCCCCTTTAGTAAAAAAGAGATCCCTTTTAAAACGGTATGAGGAGAGTAAACTTTCTGAAGAAAATTGACTTAGGAAAGCCCCCCCCCCCCCCCCCAAAAAAAAAAAAAAACGCGAAATAGGATTTTCAGGTTTAGAGAAGTTGTTCAGTTTTTTTTTTATTTTGCTTGTCAAAAAATAATTTTCGACTTACTGACATTTGTTACAGTTGATGTGCCCCCCCCCCCCCCGCGAGAAAAGTTCTGGATCCGCCCTTGATTAATGATCACAAGGTGAATATGAATAGTGTCGGAATAACGGAGAGAAAAGGTGGCTAATATACTATAAATACATAGATAAATTGAATCATCATAAATATATCTGTACATCTCTAGATATATTTTATTCCTACAATTCAGCGAGATCCTAATTTTACTGATGTTTATTCAAATCTATTGACATGACAATTTAAAGCTCTCTTGTAAATGTACAGTTTCATTCCGGATACGTGCACAGTTTATAAGGAAGTCATTTAAAATACTGTGTGCTTTAAATCTAATAAATTCCCATTGGAGATGAACCTAAGATAACTCATTTTCATTGGAGTTTTTAGTTGCATGATTGGTTGGTTCTCCACAAAATTCTGTTCTTTGATTTGCTATCTTTGATTTTTGTTGAAAACCCAACTTAGTTTGAAGTATCGCCGGGGTATTAGCAATGTTGTCGAATGGATTTTATTACATCAATGTATTAATCAAACATAACCTTTTACTGTTGAAAGGCAGGTTCTCTCTCTCCCCCCCCCCCCAACACACACATACACTTTTTGTTGCAGTACTTTCAAATCGCCTCACGGTAATACATTAATAAATTTGTTTCTGGAAAAGTTGTAATCTAGCCCCCCTCCCCCCACCCCGAACTTAGATTTTCCAGTTTGGACAATTTTCTTTTTTTTGGGGGGGGGGGGGGGGGCTTCCCTTGGATTTTTCAGGTGAGTTGTCAATTTTTTTTCTGCCCCCTTTCGACAACGACATAACGTTAATAACGTGCCTGAACTGAAACTGCCTACATCTTAAACTAGAGGTACTGTGAGCACTTTCATTGATAAAATATAGACATCTTAAAAATATCTTTGTATTTTATGGTCTACGGTTAGAAGCATTAGTACCGGAATATATATAATTAAACTAAGATGGATGGACTAAGTATTACTTTTATTTGTATATCATTTAAATGAATTTTAAACAGTTTTAAGAAAGAAAAAAACTTTTGGAATACTACCGTATCTGTGAACTTTTCTGATTAAGCAAACTTAAGTTTGTCGTAATATATTTTCTTTAAGGGATTAAAACACGCACCAATCCACGACAGATTATAGGAGGAAATCGTCGGCTTTCAGAATTCATAACAAATGATTTTTAATAATTTCTCATACTGTTCTGCGGGAATCAATACCTTAATACTGTTATATCAACAAATTCATTGCAAGCAGCCGGGTCATTCCGAGTCCACATACGTCAGAAACATCGTTATAATGAATTTATTGCGGAAGAGAAGATTTGCACTTTGTTGTGATAGACAATCTTGATCAACATAATAGAATAATAAGCCCGGGTATTCACAATTTTGATCAAACAGAACTAACTGGAAAACAAACTCGTGTATCTTCTTTCATTAAATACTCCTCTCGAATCCGTATGAATCTCATTCAGTTTTCATTGGTTTGCGGTTATCCAATGATCCACTGTCTATCTGTTTCTTCCCTATGATTTAAATTTACAGCGTTTATTCACCGAATAATAATCCTGCAGTTGTCAATATATGTATAAAAGATAATTTAATTCTGATGTGGAATTAAATTCCCCCTGTAACATGATATTATGTGGTGTTTACAGGGAAAAGATGTTTAACATTATTGCATTTTCATCAGTTATTGGCCTATATTTTCATTATCTTTTAAAAACTTTTCAATGGATTAAAAACCAGTTTGAAGAAAGCAGTCTTCAGTTTGAAAAGTTTTTGGAGAGAGATGCTTTTCTACCAGCCGTAATAATGTAGTATGATGAAGGCGGATTTTGATGCCTTTTTGATATGCAGTCCAGATGGGGAGGATAGAAAGTTTGGAGATCAGTTAGTGGACAAAATGCAAGATTCCCCATATAACCTGAAAATCTGTGTGCCATGGAGAGACACTGACGGGTGTTGGTACAATGCTAGGGACTGTATCAAAGAAAGGTAAGTACATGTAATAGATTTTATTTAATTACCTTTTTGTTTTGTAATAAAAAAAAAGATAAAAAAAAAAATAAAAAAAAAAACACACACACACACACACACACACACAAACATACATATTTCACTTACTTTGATTCATAGTCTCGTAATATCAAAAAAAAAAAAAATGCGATTTGCTTGAAAGGTGGAATAAATTAAATCATACATGTAGATACATAGCGCTACAAAATCGAGGTATTTAGTATTTAATATTTATAACACAGAAAATAGAAGGGCAGTAAAAGGTTAAGCTAACTACCTTTGGTTGTTATAAAAAAAATCGTTCGGAGCACAGGAAAGTTTGTTTTCATCATTGACAATTATCTTTTGACCGAGCAGATGCAGACGATGTATAGTGATACTGTCAAGCAACTTCTACAAAAGCGAGGAGGCGGTCTCTCAACTTGAATTCGCTTATAGTTTGTCGCCAGGTAAGATTTTCTAGGGATCAGTAAAAACTGTCACTATATGTGGTGTATGAAATATGGAGATAACGAAGAGTATTCAAGCTCAAAGTACATTAAAACAATACAAATCGGGAGCAGAGTAAACACGGACCTCCAAAAACATCAGACGTTGGATCAGGTGCCATGGAGGAGTTAGCATCCCCTGCCGACCGGTCATACCCGCCCTGTGCTCCTTGTCATGATCGGGAAAAAAAACCGAAAAAATCCGTAGACAATTCAGTGTGTAAATAATAGCCTAACAGTTAGTATAAAAATTTCAGTCAGCATTTGACTTAATGATAGGTTGTATTTACTGACAAGGTCATTGTATCGATCATAAAACTTGCAAAATGATAACTTCAAACGAGACTGTTGATATCCTTGTTTCATCAACTTGTTTGTCAATAGCTTGCCTCGTTTTAGAAATTGTTCATACGAAGAGCATGCTCTTGAGTATCGAATCAACTGGGAGACAAAACCGTCATATGCATGCAGGTGATAAGGGTATATTGCTACATATGTAGGGGAAGTTGACGATTGAAAAATTATATCGTCAACCATATTATTGATTTAAGTTGTATGATATAATGTGGTAGTGTGTCATATTGCTGCTTAATGAAACCGTAATTATACTCTCACTTTCTAAAGAAAATTTGGTCATATTGTTGTTATCCTAGTCCGTCCGTTCTTCTGTCACACTTTTCTCTTCCTCAAACTACTCACATTTTCAACAGTAGCCAACTCATCTTTTGGAATATGATTGGTGGTGCATTGAACATGAACAAAAAAAAAAGATTTGAAATTTTAATTTTCACATTAAGGGTCGAATAGGGGTAAAACAGTGTTTTTCTACAAACACCGCGTTCCTGGACTCCTCTTACATTTTTCACAGTAGCCAGTTCATATTTTGCATTATTATACTTTCATGTTAAATACTAAAATCTGATTGGTTTAGACACATTTAACAATCCGTAATATTACCCTCAGCGTTAGCAACACACTTGACAACGGGTAACATTACGAAAATATCACATGCGTTCAAATCATGCGCGTACGGTTCACCGTAGAATTCTCAAAACGTCGGTTGTGCGTTTGAAAGAAACCGAGTAAACGACGTCAATAAAAGCTTGCGTCCGATGTGGCTTACTTGAAAAAGACAAACGACAGACGAAACATCCTTGCGAGTGCAAACTTTAGGTGATAAAGGACTTTTTGAGTAGCAAACAAATAATAAAGAGGTTGGTAAATCTTTTACGAAGCTTTCCTATTGAGAAAAATAGAAGTGGGGAGTTTGAAAGCTTTCTAAGCGTGAAGTTAACGACGATCTCCGAATTTTTTAATGACATCCGAAATCAATAAGACATTCAGTATAATAAAATAAATAGTGCACGTTTTTGAGGGTAACAGTTGAAATTGACACCCCTCGGAAAACCATTGTCAACCTCCGCTGACGCGTCGGTTGACAATGGTTTTCCTTGGGGTGTCAATTTCAACTGTTACCCTCAAAAACGTGCACTATTTATATAATGTGATTGGGAGTGTTCTATAGATCTGCAATAAGGTTTCTGAATTTTAATTTTCACCCTGGGGGCGATTGGGGGTAAAAACTAAAAAATTATGTTTTTTTTCAGCAAAAACCTGGTTCCCTGAGCTCCTCTTACAATTTTTGCAGTAACCAACTCATATTTTGGAATATGATTGGTGGTGTCTTGTAGATGTGCAATAAGGTTTCAGAACTTCGGTTTTCATCCTGGAGGTAAAAAACGATGCTTTTTCTTCAAAAATCCGGTTCCCTGAACTCTCTTAAATTTTTGCAGTAGCTCAATGATATTTTGGAATGTGACTGGGAGTGTCCTCTTATATGTGCAATAAGGTTTCGAAATTTCGAGTTTTACCCTGGGGGCGAGAGGGGGGGGGGTCAAAAATAAAGTTTTTGTATAAAAAACCTAGTTCCATGAACTCCTCTTATATTTTTGCAACTCATCTTTTGGAATATGATTGGTGGTGTTCCCTTTTGTTATGCAATAAGGTTTTAGAATTTCGGTTTTCACCCTAGGGGCGACTGGGGTCAAAAACGTTTTTTTTCTGCAAAAAAGCCTATTTCCCTGAACTCTTCTAGCATTTTTCGCAGTAGCCTATGCATAGTTTGGTATATGATTAGGAGTGTCCTCTAGATGTGCAATAAGGTTTTTGAATTTCGATTTTGACCAATTTCGATTTTGACCAATTTCGATTTGGGGTGATTGGGAGTTGAAAACTGACTTTTTTGTAAATTATAGAATTATTACGGCTTCTTCCTTTAATGTTACTAAGATTTGAAGTTAAGTACATTTAAAGGCAGACACCTACGTGCGGGTATAACTGTCTAATGACAGCATCAAGTTGAAAATTTTATTGCTTGATAATATATTTCCACAAATATAAACAGCTGGGTTTCATTGAATTGTCACATATTTTTCACCTGTTTAATTTTTTGTATTTCCTGTTATCCGGTCAATTTAAACAATTATTACAACTGTTATTTAGGTCAATAAGATGATTTAGCTACCGGAGGAGTACAATATTCATTGAGCAACAAGGGCGAAGTGGATATTGTACTACTCATCGTTTTAACTGAGAAAACCCACCAATAATTCAGTGATATCCACTGCAAACCTTGACATATTTTTTTTTATTGATTAAGTACTAGCAGAACACAGTAAAAGAAACGGAATTCAAATTAACATAAACAGTTGTATTTATTTTGAATTTCTGGACCTCTTCACAGGATAAATCTGCGCCATCCAGTCAACTGAATATTCACTGAAAGGTCCGGAAAGGTGACTGGATGACAGACCTCTGCCATTCAGTCACCTTTTAGCAAAGTTTGGAAATTCTCGATCTATTTTTGACCCTGTGTAGAAAAAAAAATAAATTTTGTGTTCACCTGGAAGGTCTCGTGCAGGTAAACTAGCTTAGCATGATTTTAACCAAGTTGGATCTCAGCCAGTGAGAGAGAATAATTCAATCATATAATAAAACAATATAGTGCAACGTTGACTGGTTGTACATTAATTTTAAAGAGCTTGGTTTTAAGCTAGCGAAGTAGTAAACGATGTACTAGTAAATAAAATAGTAATGTAATAAAACCAAATACATACAGTAAATTTCCAGTAGAGGGTGAATACATCGCTAAAATAATTTTTCATTTTCTTTCAGGTTTCAAAGAGAGACAGATACTTCCCATTTGCTTAAACAAATGTGAGGTTCCAAGTTATCTTCAACAGATTTCAAAAGTAGAGTTTTATAATATGAATGCTCGAAAATGGTTTTGGGAACGACTTTACCTATCACTGACGACATCACACGGGGACAAAGTACCTGAGAATCATACAAAAAACTTGCCTGATGTTGTCAAATCAGCAAATGTTTGAAATCATTATTGCTGCTATGAAGTTTTCTAGTCATTCTGCTATTAGAATGTTTTATGAAAAAAAAAATTCAGAAAATAATTCTAAATTAAAATAATTTTGTTGTGTTTTATAGTTAAATGTAAATAAATTCTAGTAGCTTATGAAACCAATTTTTATTATTCTTTGTTTGAGCAGGGAGAATTTATGAATATATATGAAATATAGTTTACTCTAAATTTCAATTTTATTCAATGAAACCCTTGGGTCAAAAGAAACAAGATGCCAATCAAATACATATCCTGCTTTTAATGATGTTTTATATGGATCAATATTATTTGGAAAGATGGAGCACATTTATCATTTTTGGGAGATGAATTTGAGTTCAATTTCTCTAGGTCCGCGTATTGATTTTGTTTGGGTTATATAGCTTCTCTCTGTGTGAGCCAATTTTCTCAGTGTACACTGACAGTCATACATGTATATGCATCCGCTGAAGAAATTAAACATCACATATTTCTTTTTCACTCGACATTTTGTAGAAAACAGTGCAAAAAAGGATTGTTGTAAATGTATAGATTTTAAATATGAGCATTATGAGGGGTTAAAGGGTAAGACTGTTGCTTGGCAAACCCGAGGTCTCTTTAATACACACTGATTTATTTTAACCCCAGAATTTGTATGTAAACGTACGCAGTAAATGGAATGCATGAATAAAATACTGATTTGCATTCATTGCTACAAGTTTTTAAATATAACTAGTGTAAACATAGATTTTTAGAGAGAGAGAGAGAGAGAGTACTTCAAAAATTATTTTTTTTTCCTTTAGATGTTTGAAAAGTTCATCTGCCCGGTGTACATTCTGTACTTTGATTACTACTGATGTTTTATGCTTTGTATCCAGCAACATTCTGAATTTTTTTACATTAATCATTAAAAGATGTATGAATGTTTACCTAAAAAAAACATAATAATTAGTAGAACTCAAAGTTTAAATACTGAATTTTTTATAACGAAAGCAAAATCACCTAACTGGTTTTTCATCATCAGTAATGCAAAACACACTACAAAGCACGATCGACTTCTGAGAACGGGATACTTTTCTTTTTCCTCTAAAACCATATCATCTTACATGGAATGGTGTTTTCTTGCTCTGACATTGTGTACGTTGGTCATCTGCAAAGTTAATTTGTTAAAATTCATCCTGATTACACACAATTATTCTGAAGTTGATACACTGTATGCGTGAGTGCCCCATTAACAGTATCTATGTAGTCTTTAAGACCAGGTCTTCTTTCAGTCTGTTGGAATTCCAATGGGTACTAATAAGCAGACCTGTTTCATATGAAGCAAAATTTATTCCAAAACTTAAACATGAAAAGAAGAGGTCTCTTGCTGCGGACTTCAATTCAACATTTAGATGTATAGATTATACTGTTTATCAATAAACCCAAGAAACATTGACGCAAGCGTCAAAAATCGGCCGCAAACCAAGTGTTCCTTTTATGAGGCAACATACTGAATACGTGATCTGTTATTAATATATCTGATATTAATCTGTTAATTTATCCCGGTGAAATGAAACAGTGTATATCGACATTGCAGGCGCAGATTTTATTTTTCAACAACCTAGTTTACTTCACAAATATTTTGGACTCCTCTCTCTCTCTCTCTCTCTCTCACACACACACACACAAATCCAAAGGATTCGAAATGTATATATATACGTCATTTTAAAATATTTATATTTCCAAATATTTTTCCTTAAGATTCTTTGCAAATTAGAAAAAATTCATGTTCTCATGAACTATCGTGGGATGAGTAAGAATATTTTCATTGTGATGTGATTGAAGTAAAAAAAAAAATAGTGCAAACTTTTTTTTTTCAAAAATGATCGTTGAATGACAAAAATATGTGGCAAGTCATCAGAAAAAATAATATATAAGATATGAATTTAATTTTTGAGAATTCACGAGGTACATGAACTACAACGCTTCACGCCTGCATATTTATCATGAAGCGATAACGCGCTTCATGAAATATGCAGACGTGAAGCGTCGTAGTTCATGTCCTCATGAATTCTCAAAAATTCAATAAATCCTTTTTACATAGAGAAAGCAATATTGATTGTATATATATATATATATATATATATATATATATATATATATATATATATATATATATATATATATATATATATATATATATATATATATATATATATATATATAGCGTTAATTTAATACATGTATATCCCATTGAACTCGAAGTAAAAGAAACCACAGAGTTGGCTAGTGCCAACCGGGGCTATTTCTAAGTTATGTTTTAAAACAATATTTAGCTTAATGTTTTTCTCGTAGATATAAACTTCACATGGGAGTCAGTTTTTGTGCTAGATTTCTTTAAATGCTGTTAAAATACGAGAACACTATGCTCACCATAACTTAATTGTTGATTGGAACATTTTTATGGTAATAATGTTTGTTCTCTATATCATTTCAAAACTCTTTATCGATCGCGAGTTTTGGTGTATCTTGCGGCATATATTGTCAACAACGCATTTCGATGTCTCTGGTGATAATAAGTGATATGTACCTAATGCTTCGCTAATTGAAAAAAAATGCTTATATATAACTGGAGCAAAGCTTGTTAATCAACAAAATGTCTGTCTAAAATGACATTCATGTATACGTCTGTCGAGATTTAAAACAAACTCCTATTCTTTTGATTCTTTAAAAGTTGTTTGTTTATCCAGACTTTTTGACATCGGCTGCTTTTTCAAGAAAAATGGAACTCGTAAATTTATTTACCTTGTCGTTGGTCTTTTGCAAAATTAGTTTGTTAAGAAACATTCTGATTGTACACACAAGTATGTGAATTTTACGACCCCTGGGTCAGGGGTTCAGGTGTTAGGGCGGGGCTCTATTGATTATATATACAGTCTACGGATTTTTCGTTTGCCCGATTAGCACACTTCGGTTTTGACTGGTCGACAGGGGGTGCTTACTCCTCCATGGGACCTGATCCCACCTCTTATTTTTTAGAAGTTCGTGTTTGCTCTGCTCCCGATAAGTTTTGTTTCAATCGACTTTTGAGCTCGATTACTGTTCGTTATCTCCATATTTCATTAAGTATCTCTCCTTGATTTTTTTTTTTTGATGGTAGTGTTTGTTTTAGAATACGTGTCCTGTAGATGTGTAATAAGGACTGGGAATTTTTATTTTCAAGGGAGAGGTCAATTGGGGCCAAAATATTACATTTTAATTTAAAAAGAAACACGTTTTTAGAATGCCTTCTAGATTTTACGCAGTAGCCAAATCAACGTTTAGAACATGATTGAAAATTTCCTGTAGATAAGCAATAAGGTTTTGGAATTTTTTTTCAATCCAAGATGCCAACTGGGGACCGAAAATTAATTTCAAATACAATTTATTTTTCTTTCCTGAACTCCATTTTACACAAAATTTACGCTTTATCAAATGTTTTACTTTCAACATGGTAATGTATTTATTGCATAAAATACCAATATAAGGGGCTGTGACGATACATATTGTCATTTTGTACATATTGTAGTCGGCGGCAATATGTACCTACCCTCACTGCACATATTGTCGTCCATCGGTACATATTGTCGCCGGCTGAAAAATTACACGTGTACATATTGTCGCTGGCGACATTATGTACCTCACCCTCACTGTACATACCGGTATTGTCGCCCTACAGATATTGTTGCTTAAAGTTTTCTTTTGTTGATTTTTGGTAGTTTTGTGAATGTAATTGGGGTGTGAATCACACAGACGTGTCTCGTATGCCATTTCATGCAGCGTGATTGTGACGGTACATTTTGTCGTCCTTTTCATATTGCCGTCGGCGACAATGTGTACCTACCCTTACTGCGCATACTGTCGTCGTCCATCAGAACATGTCGCAAGACAATGCACGGCAATGCTACATATAAATATGACTAATCATTGCTTTGCTATTTTTGATGAAAGTTTTAAAGAATTTTCCCATATATTCTTATGTAGAATTTTGATCGCCCATTGTGGCCCCACCCTAGGCCCGGTTTGATTTGAAGATACTTGAATCTGTGCTACCTGAGGATGTTTCCATATAAACATCACTAATCATGGGCTTACTGCTGTTTCTCAGTGGTGGATCCAGAAATTTCAGAACGGGGGGGGGGGGGTGCGGTTCAGAATATTTTTTTTTGACAAGCCAAAAAAAAAAATGAAATTTGTATGTAAAGATGTGTTACTGCAGTGGCGGATCCGGAATTTCGTAACGGGGGGCGCAGTAGATGGCAAGGGGTCTGGGGGCTGCATTGAAGCCCCCAGTAGGTCTTGGGCAAAGCGCTGGTGGGGGTTCGGGGTATGCCCACGGAAGTTGACAAAATCTTACAAATAAGAGATTTTTTCCTTGATTTTCGGATAATGAACATATAAGTTCTACATACAAAATATTCAAACGGGGGGGGGGGGGGGGGGAGGTTACCTGTGGACTAAATTGTAGTTAAACAAGTAAAACAAACAGAATTTGCCAAAGCCAAAAAAAAAAAAAAATAATGATTAAATTAAAAAAAAAAACACTGGGGGGGGGGGGGTTAGCGCCGGTGCTACATCTGTCTGGCTTTCGAGAAGATTTTTAAAGATTTTCTGTATATATTCCTATGAAACACTTTGATCACCCAGTGTGGCCCCACCCTACCCCTGGGGTCATGATTTGAAAAAAAATTAATTTTGTTTTTGTTTGTTTGTTTTTGTAATAATGTCCATCTCGAGAGAATTTTTCATTCGTATGTAGACGTCACCACTAGCCGGCGGATGGCTGCAAATTAAGACCTTTACTGGGAACTCAGGGTCATTGAGCAGTGAAGGATCTTTTTCGTGCCAGCTAGGACATCAAAATTGAACGTACGCTATGTAATGAAGCTTTCACATAAGTTTCATATCTTCTGACCCAGTAGTTCTTGAAAAAAATGATAGAAATTTTTCTAAATATTCTATGAAAAACTTTGATCACCTTTTGTAGCCACACCCTTCCTCGCGGGCCCCGATGGACATGAGCAGCATAAAACTGAATCTACACTTCATAATGAAGCTTGCACATAAGTTTCAACTTTTCTGATTCCATGGTTCTTGAGAAGATTTTTA